CCAGAGTATGGAGCCTCTCCCTGGGGCAGTCCTGGGGAGTGGGCCACTCCTCTCTGCTGCCCTTGGAGGGTGGTTGGTGTCAGGCTCACAGCACTTGGAGGGTCCCCCCTTGGGGAGGGCACCTGCACACGCCTCACCCAGGCTAGGCCAGCCCTGCTGGGGGCAGAGTCATCTCCCACCCGGTGTGCCCGTTCTCCTGAGAGGTGGAAGCCACCCAAACTCAGCCCTGCTCCTCTCTGGCCGTGCCCTACAGGGGTCTTGTGGGCCCGAATCAAAGGGCCAGAAGCCACACACATCGTGCGAGTGCCGGCCACAGTGTTCCCAGGGCGCCCTCCTTGCTCGCAGATGTCTGCTGACCCTGCCCGGCAGTGTTATTTACTGAGGGCTGGGTTACGGCTGGATGATGAGGCCCGAGGCATGGGGTGTCCACTCCTACAGTGATTAGCTCCTTGCTGTCCTGTCCACGCTAGCTGACTCTCCCTTTCTTCTGTCTCTGTGTTCCTCTCACTCTGATTTTCTCTCTGCCTTTTTGGTCCGTCCTCAGCTCCTTCTCTCTGTTTGTCCCGGTCCTTCTCTTCATGCCCGTTTCTGCCCCAGTGTTCTGTGTCCCCCTCTGTTTCTCTCTGGGTTCCCCGAGTGCTGCTGACTCTAGCTCAGCTCCCCTTAGGTGATCAGACAGTCCCCAGGCCCTGCGGCATCCCCGTGAGAACAAGTTGGAGATGCCAGGGTTCTTCTGCCGGTCGGGCAGGGTTCATACAGCTGAGGGGCTGTGGGGCAGGGTTGCTGGGAGGGGAGGACTGGGTGTGCCCTGTGCTCTCCAGTGAGGGCAGTGAGAGTGAGTGAGGGGATGGGTGCACCCCATGGGGACAGAGGCCCTTCCTGGCTCCAGGTTGCCTGAATGTTGATGAAAAAGTCCTGGACGGCCACAATCCATGTTGCGTGTAAACAAACTGGGCCCTGGGAGGAGGCCCTGAATTTGGCCCTGGAGTCTAATGCAAGGTTTTATTGATGGAACCTCCATCTAAACACGTGGGCTGAGCTATCACGAAGCACAGAACCTGAACAGAGGGCCTGCTGGGAGGCACAGGACAGCTCTGTGCTCTGGCTGTTCTGGCCACTATCCAGGCACCAGCCCTGAGGGCTGCTGATCCATCTCCGGCCATGCGGAGCCACTGTTTGCAGGGCTTGACAACAGGGTTCAGCAGAAACATGGCCCAAGAGGCGAGTTATCTTCAAATATTAACCACTGGATATTTCCGGATCTGCAGACAAAATCCGGCACTATGTGCTGCCATCTACACGTCACAAGCTTTACCTAATGACCTACAACCTGGCATTAAGACATCTATAATTCAAAAGTGATCATTTGTGTCCTAATAATTATAATTCCATAATAGACAACAATCTAGTCAATGAAATTGTAAAGTTGGATATCCCATTACAGCTCCACTCTGGATGACACCCTCTTCCTAAACTACATTCTTCTATAGACACATGTTCATAACATGGACTGTTGGATACAATAGTAATACTGTCCTGATTACACTGATGTCGTGATACAAATCTGATTTGATTAGCTATTAGTCATTTACCCTACTCTACTGTATACCTAAAATTCAAGAGATGGCAAATAATCATTTTTCTTTGGGTGTAGAAGAACGGGGGTGTAGGCCAGAGGTGTGGAGGGATTTCAGGATTCAGCAGAGACAGAGTGTGATTCATAACAGGCAGATTGACTGAATTACACCACTGGGGGGAACTGTGGGCAAGACATGAGGGGTCTGCTGCACCATAGATGGGTTTGCTCCCTGGCCTGGGCTTGACTCAGGATTCAGCCATGGCAGTGCTGAGACTTTACCCCTAGGCCACCACGGAAGTCCAACCAACCCAAATAGACAGATACCATGTATGCTATCTAATGTGTGGTTGGGATGATCCCAGAGTCACCATTTATTAGGTTCCTTCCTTGGGATCCCCGGGCAGAAATGGGAACAGAGGTGGCAGGCAGGTGAGGGCATCATGGCCTGAGAGGGCTGGGCAGTAGTGATTTGGCTAAATGGCTCCCACTGAGGAGTTGGTCATCTGCAAGGCCACAGGGAGGAGGAGGTCAGCCCTGTGAAGGGAATGGACATCAAAGGAGAAGACAACTTGGGTGAAGAGAGAACAAGTGTATTAGCATTTGTACAGTGAACAAGAAATCTTGGAGGAAATACATGAAAATAACTTGAAATGAATTAGGAGACCAAGATTTGGAACTACAAGAGAAGGGCCAGGTGTCTGTGGGTAGAGGCCTTGTAGAAGTTAAAGAAAGACATGTGGCTAGGGAGGTGGAGGAGGAGAAGTTGGGGGTGGAGCAGTGCTGAATGGTTGTCCTGAGTCAGTTGTCCCTAATGAGGACAGGCAGGACAGGGCGGAGGGGCTGGGTCCCAGGAGGGGTGGTGTCAGGTGAGCACCCTTGGCTTGTGCTATGAATCCCTGCAGGGCCTGCTTCCGTAGGCAGAACTGCTCTTCCTTTAGCTCCCTCACTTTAACCTGCAGGAAGCTGGCCAGGGCTGATCCTCCAGCAGGTCAGGTGTGAGCTCAGGATCGCCTGCACAGGCTGCATTCTCTGGGGCACGGCCTTGCTCTCCCAGCGAGGGTGGGGTGAGCTCAGCGCCATCCTCATGGGGTGCAGCATCCTGGTCATTGTCTGCTTCCTCCAGCAGCACTCTTCTTGCCTCAGAGTCCTCAAAGAAGTGTGCGGGATACTAAGTCAGAGGCCTTAATCAGAGACACCCTGCAGGGGAGGAGGTAGAAGAAGGACCAGAGGGAAGGAGGGAGGAGACAGGGGCCTGAGGTGATGGTGCACGGGTGCCTTGGAGAAGGAAACTCTAGGGGACTGTACCTGATGGGGTGGGAGGAAGCAAATAGTGTTTACAAGTGAAAAGTGAAGTTAAAAAATAAAAAAAGAAGAATATAAAAAAAAAATACAATCAAGCATGCAGGATCCTCCCCCTGTCTTGGCTTCTCCAGCAGTGGGGGTGTGAAATGCCCACACTGGGCAGCTCCTGAAGCATCCTGGCCTATACCTGTCTCCCGCAGTGGGGCTGGTGTGAACACACCACTGCCAGCATGCCCTGCTGGGGCCTGGCTAGGTCCTGGCTCTCCGCAAACAGGTGGTGTGAGCTTGTGCCCACCAGGTTGTCCTGCAGGTTGCAGGCCTGGCCTGGCTTCCCCAGCAGGGTCTGGTGAGTGACCCCTGAAAGCAGGGGCGCTAAGGCCAGTCCCACCCACTGCCTCTCTGAGTCCCCAGTTGCACCTGGGTGGGTACAGCCTGGTCTTCCTGTCCCCAAAGTACAGCCATAGTCTGCTAGAGGTAGAGGGATGGGGTGTCCTCAAGGTCGGGGGCTGGGCTCGGGTCTGCAGCCTCACCGGGCCCCAGGCCAGCTTTCATCAGCAGCGCCCCACCTACTGCACAAAGCCCAAGTGGATCAGAGGGTTGGCAGTGTGTTAACTGAGTCATCCCGGGGCTGGCACCCCACGACATCCCTTGCCTATGTTCTCGTTGACCTCTGGGGGGATCCTCATGATCTTCTGGCGGGATCCTGCCAGGAGCCTCTGATACAGATAAGAAAATCGCGGCTCAGAGAGAGGGAGCAGCTTGTCCCAGAGCCACTGCTGATCAGATAACCAAGTCAGCATTTGAAACAAAGTCCGCTGCATTCCCAAGCCAGTGGCCTGACATCCATCATTGCCAAACCCCAGAAATGCTGCGGAAGTTAACCCTTAGGTCCCCTGCCCTCAGATAAGGGATCTGGGTGCAGAGGGGTGTTATGATTCACCCAGGGCCATAAAGCAGGGAAGAGCGGCAGGCTGCTCTGAACTCTAGTCCTGCCATAATCTTGATGCCACAGGGGGACTACCCCTGCAGTGCCAGCCTTGGGGAGGGTGCCCTCACTTTGAGCCTCGATATGAATCTCTGCTGGGACAAACGTGTCCTTCACATCCTGTGGGCTGCTGGGTTCCGGGCCCCAGAAGTGGCATCATCTCAGGGCTGACACCGAGAAAAGGGCTGTGACTGGGCAAGGTGCCAGGGAGGCGCTGGTCGTCCCTTCCCCTCCACAGCCACAGGATAAAGGGTTCAGGGGAACCTGAGAAGCCTGTCCCTCCCTGGGTGGCACTTGGGGCAGATCACCCCAACTTGATGAAACAACTCGGTCCTCATGAAGTCTGAGGGAGAGGGTGTGAAAGGGGTTGGGGGGCGGCGTCAGGACAGCATGTGGAGCAGAGTGTCTCAGGGACAGTAGCTTCTAGAACGGTGGTTCTCAATTGCTCACCAGGGAGCATTTGCAAAGTCTGGGGACATCTGAGGTGGCCACAGCTTAGTGGCTGAGTGCTCCTCAACCTACTGGCTGGGCTGGGTAGGTAGGGGCCAGGGAAGCTGCCCAACATCCTACAGGGCACAGAACAGCTCCCACAATTGAGCATCATCTGGCCCCAAATGTCATCGGTGTCAAAGTTGAAAAACCCTTTTCTAAAGCAACCTCCACACATCCTTCGCCTCCTCCAGCCTGGGTGGCCCCTGTAGCTGGGCTGGGCCGCTTGCTTGCCAGAGGTACTCTGCCAGGTGGTATGTGTGGGGAGTGGGAAGGGGTCCAGCTGTACCCCAAATTCTTTAATAAATTAGATCACATTACTGTCCTGCTTGGAACCCTCCTAGGTCTCCCAGTGCTCCTCTGACAAAATCCAAACCCCTTTCCGTAGCTGCAGGCCCTGGCGCAGGTGACCTTCCAGCCCACTGGCTGCCTCCCCCAGAGCACACCTCGAGGCCTGTTGTCCTTAAGCACAGCCTGGCACTGGCGGGAATATTCCTCCTTGCTCTCCTCAGGGCGGGCTCCTCTCTTCTCCTGTATTTCCTCAGTGGGGCCTCTTCTGAGCCCACTGTGAGAGGCGGCCAAGCTCCCACCCCGCCCTTGTCCCGATCACGCTGGCCGGCCTCACCACTGCTCGATGGACGCTCCACACGGGCAGGCTCTTCGCTGGTTTCATTCCCTGTGTACCAACTGTTCTGGCACGTTTTCATTACTGCTAGTATCCGCCTGAATCCTTATGTGAATTTTCTTATTTTACAGCTTTCCTGTCTGCCTCCCCAACTACAGAATGAGCACCGTGAGGGCAGGAGCTACCTGGCTGGTTGTCTAGTTCCCCAGCACCTGCAACAACAGCCAGCACGGGGCAGGTGCTCGACAAAAGGAGTTCCTCAGGAGTTGGGGTTCCCCACCCCAGCCACTATCCTTCCTGCCTCGGGCTGGGAGTGCCAGTTTTGCCATCGCCAAGGGAGAGAAACACTGTCCCCCCGAAACAGGGGGACACAGTACACCGACAGTTAAGAACATGATGTGGGTTTGTCTCCATGAACACTGGCTGTGTGAAGGCAGCAAGTGGCTTAACTGCGCGGAGCCTGCCTTCTCCTCCATGGAAAGGGGATAAGAATAGAACAGACTTGATAGCATTGCTGGGGCATCTGGCATGCAGTAAGAGGTGAATAAATGCTGGCCAATATATTTCATAGAAGTGATGCTCACAGGCCATCTGCCTGCCCCAGAGAAAATGACAAAGCCTTGGCACAGAGCCTGACAAGCACTCCTGTCCCCGGTGGCAGTCCAGACTCCGCTCTACACTTCCTGGTGACCGCCAGATGTGCAGAAGCTGGAAACTCACATTCTCATACAGGAAACAGGGAGCTCTGAGGCCGGCTTTGGATCTTGCCTAGGTCGAGGGTGGACGGTAAGATCCGGGGACGTTCCCTGTAGGCAGAAGGCGGCACTCAGGTTTTGGGAGGGGGCGGATGAAGCAGGCAAATGGTTCAGCTAGAGCAAGGCCACGAGAGGTGACGGAGCAGCAAGGGAGCCACAAGCCCTAATGGGACGCCTGTTACTGGCAGGCCGGCGGCAGGAACTGAACAGAAGAGCACGAGCCAAGGACATGGCTCCTGATTGCAGGGCATGTGGGCAGGGTAGTCAGAGGGCACTGCCATGGGGGTAGGGGGTACAGCTAGTACATGTTATAGGAGCTCAGTGAAGGCACAGAGCTCCGTGGAGGCCACTGCATGGCACTACCCAGGGGTTGTCATGCTGTCTACAAGAATGGCACCAGTGGAGTCGGGCAGTGCCCAGCCTGTGCAGCACCATGACCGAAGTATCAGGATGAGCTCCCCAGAGGAAACAGTTTGATACAATATGACTCCAGAGAGAGCAGGATCCCCAGAGAATGCCCCCAAGCTCCAGGCAGGGCTGTTACCTACTGTAAGATCTGGGCACCCTCTGGATCCCTCCTCATCGGGTCTCTGAGGAGCTTCAATACACGGAGTCCAGTGGTCTCTCGTAGAACTGCAACCATGTCTGAAAGGAGAGAAGTGGGGACAGATGGAGGGTATGATGCCACATAAGTTACCTGGACTGTTCTGAGCCTTAGTTTCCCACCTGACGAAACGGGGATAATGTCCACCTGCACTATGAGAGTTCATTCCACACAAATAGCAAATCAGAGCTCCCAGGGCACAATATAATCATAGTTATTATTACTGCTGCTCTCTCTGGATAAGGTGACTCTGGCTAGCAGTGTGCTAAAGGGTTTGTAAATCAGAATATCACATCTCTATCAACAAGTACAGGCTTAGGCATCAGTGTTGGGTTGAGCCCAGGTGCAATCATTATCTAGGTGACCTTGTGCCAACCTCTCCGCATTTCCAATGTCTTCCGTGTCCTTTGGGGTTAATGTGCAAGCTCAACAACATCACGCATACAAAACAGCACAGTAAGCAGCCAAAAGGAGTGCTTAGTGAGCACTTAATATCACCATTTTTAATAGGAGCAAAGCTAGAGAATGTTCCATTCATGTTCCACCTCAGCAAGCGTTTATGGAGCATATATAACGTATCAGGCAAAATCCCATGTGCCGCTGACACAATAGGACATGTCTCTGATATCAAAGTTTAATTTCCAGTAGGATATTGTAATTTTGAAAGGTTCAGCAGGGGAAGATGAGGAGGGAAAGACGAGGACGACAGAATAAGTTTAAAGGGGGGCTTTGTTGCGTTCCCCGGGCAAACTTCACAGACCCAAGGTGGGGACCGGTGAAGCCGCGCCTATTGTCAGGGGAAGGCAGGTGTTTATAGGATGGGGAGAGGGAAACTGGGCTTGCAGGTAACGAGGAACAGTTGTTTTCTGATGGTATCAGCAGGTCCTCATTCTCAGCCTCAGGTGGCTTCCTACCAGATGCCTTTTCGCCCTAGTAACTCTGGTTCCCGCCAGACCTTTCAAATTTGACGGGTGCTTACGAATCATCTGTTTAGTCCAGAGGTTCTCCATGTAGCTGGGCAGCAGAAAAGTAGTTTAAAAAGTTTTCCTGCCGGAAAGTAGTGTAAAAAGGCAGGAGCTCAGATCCACGGTCCTCCCTCCCCACTACCCACACTGGCAAATTCGGATTGAGTGAGTTTAGAATGGAGCCTGAAAGGTCCATGCAAGAGGCCAGAATGCAAAAGCCCACCAGGAAGCCCCCTGGGGCAGGAATGCAGGAGCATGCCTAGAAAATTCAGACAATGAACCCCTCCCTGCTCTAGAATCTTTTCCCGCTCTTGCAAACCCAGGCTCCCACCTGCTCTCTCCTCACCCTGTAAAAGCCTGCTTCCCCCTGGCAACGTGTGCGACTCCACACAGGGGTCCCTGTCTTGGGTCCGTGAATTTCACCTGGGGCACAATAAATTTTCCCTTCTGTAAAGGTAGGACTTGCCACAGTGCAGGTTCTCTGATCCCATGCAGACCGGGTAAAGGAGGAGTCAGAGTCCTCAGTGGTTTTTTGCAGGTCTTTTATTGGGGTTCACCAGGCATATGGCAGGCAGGGGTGCTGGCTGTGGGGCTGGGAGGCTGGCAGGCCTCCCAGCCCCCCAGCAAGTCTTCACTCTATCTGGGCTCTCTGGCGTTCGTTCTGCTGCTTCTCAGCTTCTCTTTCGGCTTCTGCTTCGGCTTCTTGGCTTCTACTGGCGTCTCCGTGACGCCGACCTTAAAAGCACAGTCTTAGCCCAGGTGAATCCCATCTACCTATGCCCACACCCTACTCCAGGTGCCGCCATCAGGCATGCATTCAGGACCTCAAGGATCCATCATCTATCCTGATGGCGGGAGGGCAGAAAAGCCTGATATTTTCTTTACCCTACACCTTCCTTTGAGAAAGCTTGGCCTGGCTCTTTCTTTTACCATGCTGAACCTTTCATCTTGGTGCCCAAAACCCGGGAAGGCTGTGTCTCCTGGCACGGGGCCTCCTTTCCGTTCCTGGGACCTCTCCTCTCCATTGCAGACCCTCACATCCACCACCGGTCTTGACCCTTGGGGTGAGTCACCTGCCTGACCCGCCTTCCTAGGAGGCCCTCACCTCTGGGTATTCAGCTCCTCACCTAACCCTCTCCCTCAGTCGGCTGTTCCATAAACCATGGTGGGTCCATGTCAGCCGACTCCAGTTACACCTAGACCCCGAGTTTGGGGACGCCCATCCAGACTAGGTGCCCGAATCCTAGGCAACAAAAGAGTAGTGGAGATGTCCCTCTTGCTTGTTTGCCCCTCACTAAAGGCCAGGACCGAATCGTGGGATGCGGCGATTCAGAGCCTGTGCCCCCCGAGGACGGCCAGATCAGGTTCGTGGGACGCTGTGTTCCTGACTCTGTGCCCCATTAGTTGGTGTAACAAACATATAAAACTTACAAGTAAAATTGACAATATTAAGGTGCCTGCGAGCACTGTGAGTGTAAGTAGCTGAGGTCACATACTGAGGGGTAAAGACTGGTAAAGCAGACGGTGCCTGAGCCTAAACCTGATAAGAAGGTATAAAAGGAGCAGCTCCCTGACGCCGACTCAGAGCAGTCCTAACAACTGGCTCGGAGCTGAAACCTCTCCTTGCTCCTGCTCCTAGCTTGCTCCTGGGTTCGGCACACCAGGAAACCTGCACTTCCAGGCTCTGCTCCCCGCGGCCCCGGTGGCCTGCTCCCTGACAGCAGCACAAGGGGCCTGTCAGCTCAATACCCTGCACGACCATCCGCACTGCGGGCCCTTGAGCCTAGAGACTTCCACGGCCTATGTGGAAGGCCCGGCTAAGACACTTCGCAGCAACTGTCCATAGTCAAATGTACTTTGGGAACTTGGGATTAGCTTGCTTATATGAACTTAAGTGTGTGTGTGACCAATATAGGAATGAAATTCTCTTTGAGTGTCAACTCTGACTGGAGTTTATACGTCACTCTCTTGACACTGTATTGTTTTCTAATTGTATTAAAGTTCTTTTCCAGGGCCTCCCTCCCTGGTGGCACAGGCGGTTGAGTGTAGTGCTGTGAAGCTGTCCGCAGCCTCTTCAGTGCCAGTCCGATCCCCACTGGCCTTGGAACAACCCACATGGCGAGCAGACTCTTCCTGTCTCTCCCACTACTCCAGCTTCAGCAGAGTATTTCATCAGTCTGCCTGTTCTGTTCCCCGCTCTGTCTCTGGTGAATCCTCTCACCCTCCTGCGCATCTGGCCTGTAACCAGTTCTTGCATAAATAAAAAAATAAAAATCAATAAAATAAAGTTCCTTTCCATTAAAATCTCATATGTTTTATATTGATGTGGCGGATGGCAGAACCTATTTAGAGCAGGCAGGTTTGTGGGGTCTGGGGTGCCCCTCTCCCTGCACATCAGATATTTTAGAATGTGGATTTGAGGATGATCTTAAGCACCCAAAGTCCACCCAAATGGAACTGGCCTAGAGCAAGGCCCCAAACCGGCCCCAAGTCCAAAGCACCTTCTAGTGGGGACCCACAGGAAAGGATCAGAAACAACGAGACAAGTCTGGGAGGAAAAGAGCAAAATCAAAATCAAGACAAGAACCGCCATTGTCACCTCCTCACGGGTCTCTTGCCCACATCTGTGTCACCCCGACCACGATCAAAAGGCAAGCGCAGTTTCTTCACGTGTCTCTTGGCTCCACGTGCCTCCTCCAGGTCTCCTTCTGGCTCCTTCCGGCGTCCTTCCTTCTCCATCCCTTCTGCAGCTTCTTCTTCCTCTCCCAGCTCAGCTCCAACCTCTCTTGGGGGGGGCAAGAAACCTGAAACCCCCTTTCCTGGGGACCACCCCATTGCCAGGACACAGTGCTTGGGAATGCAGAAGAGCTCCCTTTGTCCTTCCAGGTCAGCACAGCAGGTATTTTAGAATGTGGATTTGAGGATGATCTTAATGGTTGCTGAATAGTATTCCATTGTGTATGTGTACCACATCTTCTCAATCCAGTCATCTATTTTTGGGATTTGGTTGTTTCCATATCTTACCTATTGTAAATAGTGCTGCAATAAACATAGGGGTGCAGATATCCTTTTTAATTAATGTTTTTGTGTCCTTTGGGTAGAGTCCTAGGAGTGGAATCCCTGGATCATCGTAGGTCCATTTTCAGTATTCTGAGGAATCTCCACACAGCCTTCCACCGTGGCTGGACCAGTTCACATTGTCACCAACAGTGCAAGAGGCTTCCTTTATGTCCACATCCTCTCCAGTATTTGTTGTTTCTGTTTTTTTAACGTGGGCATTCTCACTGGAGTGAAGTGTACCCCATCTTCTTGATCCATTCAAGATCCTCCAATTCAAAACACAATCAGAAACCACTTTACACCTGTGAGAAGGGCCCATATCAAAAAGACCAGACATAACAAGAGCTGGGAGGACATGGAGAAAAGGGAACAGTCCTGCACTGATTTGGGGAATGTAGACTGGTTCAGCCCTGATGGAAAACAGTATCCAGGTTTCCTAGAAGATTAACTGTGGATCTGCCCTAGGACCCAGCAGTCCCATTCCAAGGTATCTACCCTGTCTCAGACAGCCCATGAGAAGTTCTCAGCTCTGAAGGAAGACTCAGAGTCTAAGTGAATTAGCTGCAGGGGGAGGCTGGGGAGAACCCTCTAGAGCGGCTCTGCCTATCACTCTCCCAGCCCAAGCTCTTATTAAAGAAATGAACAAAGGGATGAGGAAATAGCGTGTATTTGTGTTTATGCTTATACACTTGAATAAGTTACTGCTGGAACAAGTTTTTCTAGTTAATAGGGATCATGCCACAAGTCAGCATGTCCTCAGGGAACAGGAGTTCATTTGGGGAAGTGCCGGGGATCAGCCTCGGCAAAATGTCGGTCAGGGGTTCCTGAAAGGATGAGAAGGCATTGGCGAAAATTTAAGGGCTAAGGGGAAGGGGATGAGGTAGTGAGGAGACAATGACACTGGATGAGGTGCAAGTATCTTCTGCTGAGAGACTCAGCAGGTCTTTATTTATTCATTTTTAGCAAGCAGAGAAATTACATCATCATGTGCAAAGCAGAGACAATTAGTGTATTCTATTCCCATGGACTCCTGACTCCTACGGGTCTCAGCTAGATGGTAGCCTTCAAGGTTAATAGATAAAAAAAAACAAACCTAACACTAAAACTTATTTCAGTTAGACCATTACCTAAGACACTGGATAGCCTCCCGTACACTCCTATCAGCTAAAGCCTAGGCATCCAATGACTCTTCTGTTTTTATGGCCTTCAGCCGGAGACCAGCTGCTTCTTAGCTATCAGAATTTTTTCTACCTAGAAACTCCTTAATACAGTTAACTTCATTTAAAAACTTTCCTGAAACCCCACCAACTGGGAGAACATTTTTGCACCCAACACTAATGATAAAGGACTGATCACAAAAATCTGCAAAGAGCTGATGAGACTCAGCAACAACAAAGAAAATAATCCAGTCAAAAAATGGGCAGAAGAGCTAAAAAGAAACTTCTCTGAAGAGGAAATGCAAATGGCCAACAGACATATGAAAAAATGTTCAACATCACTTGTAATCAGGGAAATGCAAATCAAAACTACCATGAGATACCATCTCACACCAGTGAGAATGGCACATATTAAAAAAACTAGCAACAACAAATGTTGGCGAGGATGTGGAGAAAAAGGAACTCTTGTGCACTGTTGGTGGGAGTGCAAACTGGTCCAACCACTATGGAGAGCTGTGTGGAGATTTCTGGACCTACTAAACATAGAGCTTCCATATGATCCAGCAATTCCACTCCTAGGTATTTACCCAAAGGACACAGAAACATCAATTCCAAAGAGCACCTGCACCCCTATGTTTATAGCAGCACTGTTTACAATAGCTAAGCTTTGGAAACAACCCAAATGCCCAAAAGTAGATGACTGGATCAAGAAGATGTGGTACATATACACCATGGAATATTACTCAGCATTCAAAAAAGATAAACACATGCAATTTGCAGCAACATGGATGGCGCTGGAAGGGATCATGCTCAGCGAAATAAGCCAAAAAGAAAAAGAAAAATACCGGATGGTCTCACTCATAGCAGGAATCTAGAAAACTTAAATAAGGGACCAGGAAAATGAATATAAGAAAGTGAAAATCAAAATCAACAAAAAACTATGAACCAGAGACACTTTTTGGGGGGTGGGGGGCGGGAGGGGAAGGATTGGGGTCAGAATGGGGCGTTTGCAATTGTATGGGGGAATATAAAAATAAAATTTAAGATTAAAAAAAAAAAAAAAAAAAACTTTCCTGAGAAACTTCTTTTAAAAAGGAAACTTCTAAAAAAGCAAAAAAATAATTGTTGTGCAGGCATGTACAATAAATTGTCCTCCATTGTCAAGTGGGCCAAATTGTTTAATAACTAATTTCTAAACAGATAATTTTCCGTGCCATTTGCTTGCAGTATGCTGATACATATAATTTATTGTCGAATTTACTTTTTGAGAAATTTTTTCTCTCTTTATGACCAAGAACAAAAAACAAAGGGATGTTATATCTTCAGCCCCACGGTGTGAGGCACAAGGAATCTCCGCCCCCACGGTGTGAGTCCCTTTAGCTTCGGCCCCACGGTGTGAGGCCCTTTAGCTTAACTACTTGCCAGTGTCTTATCTGGCTGGGGCATCAAGGTCCCCTGGAACCCCCTGTGCAGAGTAAGCAGGTGCTCTCAGAGACTCCGGCTCCCTTTAGGGCAGCAGGCGCCAACAACCTGCAGAGGACTTTACACTACTTCAAAGGAAACCTGCACCCCCCTGATCATGCAGCACTATTTACAGTAGTCAAGCTATGGAAGGGGTGGTACATAGATAATAGAATACTACTCATAAAGAAACATAAACTCATGCCCTCTGGGGCAACATGGATGGAGCTAATGGAAATAAGCCCAAAGGAGAAAGACAAATATGTCACTTAGATATGGATATAGAGAAATTAAACAAAGGGCTAGATTAAGCCCAACTTAAAAGCTATCCCTTGAGTCTCCCAGGTGGTGCCTGACTACTGGCTGGGGCTGCAGACCAGCCCAGACTTCCTGGTCTGGCAGCGCTGGATGGTAGACTGACCCTCTCTAGTTTGCCATCAAACTCACTTGACGACAAAGCCTGACTCCTGCTGACTGAATCCCCCATTGTGTCTTGTTTCACCTGCACCACCACTGGGTCCCCAGCCTCTGCTGTTTGCTGGGTCTGAGATGGATCTTGTACTTGATGCTGCATGTAATTTTTTGTTTGTTTTTAAGATTCATTTTTTATTTATTTATGCATACAAGAACTGGGGCATAGGCCAGAGGTGCAGAGGGGGAGAGGATTCACCAGATACAGAGTAGGGAGCAGAACAGGCTGATCCACTGAAATCCACTGCTGAGGGGAGTAGGGGTGAGACAGGAGAGGTCTGCTGCCCCCTGTGGGTTGCTCCCTGGCCAGGGATCAAACTCAGGTCTAAGCAGTGATAGCACTCAGATGTAAACCTTATCCCACCAGGGAGGCCCTGTTTTTAATATATTTTTTACATCTTTTGATATTATTTAAAATAATAGAAGCACTCCTACTGCTCTACTTTCATAATAATCACGCTCCTTCCTCCAAGCCCTTGGCTCAGGTTGGGTTTACATGTGTCTTTGTCACCTTTACTCAGTGTCCATCTCTCATGACAGAGCAAGCTCCAAGTCTCCAGGGTCCTCTCTCTGTTCCTCATTGTGTCTGCAGGGGAGGCAGCTTGGGGAGGCAGGAGCCAGCCAGGGAGAGGGATGCTGGCAAGTGAAAAGGAGGCAAAGGCTAAGAACATTTGGGAGATCCTCCCTGGTTCCCTGAGAAAAGCATTTCTCAAAGTGTGGTTGTGGAATCCTTGAAGTCACCCAGAGCCTGTCACAGGATCCACGAGGTCAAAACTATTTTCAAAATGTGACTTAGACACCATTGGCTTTTTCACTATTTCGCCATCTGCTGAGGTAAAACTTACTAAAAATGGAGCTTATATTACTAACTGCAGTAGTAGTTATTCTTCACAACTACTTACCTCAGAAACACAACTCCAAGCCAGTTTCATTTCAAAGTTTCTTGGTTGAAGCATTAAAAATTATCTTCACTATTCTATCATCCTCATATCCACATTTTACAGCACCTGATGCGAGGACATGCAAGTGCACACAGAACACTCCTGCTGCGTTCCCACCTATTATGTGCCAAGAAAAATATTTACATGAGATGAATTGGACTATTTTTCTTTTTTGTAGGCAATACCATCTTCACATGAAGGAATGAATGACAAAATCTGTGGCTATTTGATTTGGTTAATTAGCAGACATTGTCCTTAAAATGAGAGTGTGCTCCTTTAAGAAAATCAACTGACAATTGATAACTGACAGTCACTTCTCCTTGACCAAATGCAAGTGCTCAGAAAAAAACAGAATCATGGAAAATTGTGTCCTATCACTAACTTGACAACTTCCAGTACTACTTTTACTTTTTGGATTTGTGGTGAAAAATAAAATGAATTTTTTAAAATAATTTGATTCTGGTGTAATGAACATTGAAGAGCTTTATTAACTTGTGGAACAATATATTACTTTAAAAAAATCACACATTAAAACTAACTGCAGTTAGTTTTATGCAAGAGAGGACTATGAAAATGTAACAGAATAAGAAATATTCAATGACATTGTTTCAGGTTTCACTTTGCAAATAACCTGGGAGAAAATACCACCTGTATAGATTTAATTTAGTATCAAAGTGGAATATTCACAATAATGTGAAAACACTACTCCAACATATTTGTGTGAGGCTGTAGACATTTTTTTCATAGACTCCCACCAGAACCACAACTAAATGCAGAAGGAAACATGAAAATCCTGTCTTCTAATGAGACAGACAAGAAAACCAATGAGACAGACAAGAAAGACAACTGCAAACATAAAACACGTGAAAGATCCACTCTCCTCATTGCCCTGATTATTTTCAGAAAGAAGTTATTTAACAGGCATTGATTATTGATTATCTATCAACAGGCATTGGATTATTACTATTATTCTAAATGAAACAGCTGCATGATCAAACTCAGCTTTATTCCCAGTGTGGTCAATATGGGGAGCAATACCTCCTGAACAAGATTATACTTGGCGTCCTCCCTAATCTGTAAGACTGGACACGGATCCAGGAAGGAAAATGACTGAGAATCACTGACCCAGTCCTTGGGCCTGGAATCAGGGAGACAGGGTGACAAGCTTTGGGTGAGGAGAGGAGGGGCCAGAGCAAAGCCCCAGGTCCCCAGTCTGGTTCTCATAGTTCCAGGCCCCAGGGCTGTGTCTAGGGCAGGAAGGTTACTGTTGGGGACACCCCACTGCCCCCTTAGCCTCCCTTCTGTCTCCACCACCTGTGCTGGGCCCTGGACACTTGTGACTCCTCCCCAGTTCTCAGTCCCCAGTGCCTGGAAGGTTCCCAGAGAACCAGTCAGCATCACTGCCTGCCCAGGTAAGTCTCCACCCACCAGCCTGGAGTCAGAAGCTCCCCAGACCCCAGCAGTGCTGATCATGGGGTCCCCAACTCTCCTCCTGCTGCTTCTCTCCAGGGCTCTGGCCCAGACAGACACCTGGGCTGGTGAGTGCAGGGTGGAGGGAAAAGGCTTCTGCAGAGGAAGCTGCTGGCTTAGGCCTCTCTGTCACCCCTGTGGCCCCCTCAGTCCTGGTCCCTTTCTGTGCCCCCATCTGCCTCCTCCTTTTGTCCCCTGAGTCTTGCCCCTTCTGGATCCGCTGCCCACTTTCAGTCTGTGGAGCTCCCTCCCTCCTGGACACTTTCTCCCCTGCCCCATCTCCCCGGGGACTCAGGACCTGCCCAGGGGGGAGGGTCCGCCTGGCTTTCACCCCTCCCCGCCCCCAGGCTCCCCCTCTCTGAGGGTGTTAGAAATGGTGATGTCCCGCCCGGCCTCGGGGAGCCCCGGTGCATCGCGGGGGTGCTACGTGGACGACCCGCAGTTCGGGGGTTCGACAGCGACTCCCCGGGCCAGAGCGCGGAGCCGCGGGCCCCTGGGCGGGCGGGCGGGGCGGGAGGGTCGGGCGAGGAGACGCGGCTCCGCAGACACTCGGCGCGGAGGCTCCAAGCGCTCCTGGAGGCCCCGCGCGGCCGCCGCAGCCAGAGCCGGGCCGGGGAGCAGCGCGGGCCGGGGCGGGTCACCGCTCCCGCCCCACCCCCCGCCCCGAGTCTCGGGGCCCCGTGACCCCCGAGGCCGTGGCCCCTGCCAGGCCCCTTGACCGGGGAAGAGCCCGCGGGACTTTCCCCCTTTAGGTTTCATTTAAGTTTGGGATTATTCAGGGCGGGAGATCGGGTGCGGGCGGAGACCACGGGGTGACTGCAGGGCGGGCTCAGGGTCTCCCACGATCCAGAGGACTCTGGGCTGCGCCGCGGGGCCCGACGGCGCCTCCCCCGCGGGCACGACCAGCTCCCCACGACGGCGCCGGGGACGCGCCCTGGGCGGGGACCTGCGCGCCTGGACCCGGCGGGCCCGCGGCTCAGCTCCCCGGCGCGAGGGGGAGGGGGAAGGTCGGGCAGAGCAGCACGGGAGCAGCCTGGGGGGCGGGTGCGTGGAGGGGCCCCCAGACTCCTGGGGATGGGGAAGGAGGCGCCGCAACTCTGAGGTGAGAGGGCTGCGGGGCTTTGATCTCCCTGAGGCGCGCACCCCGCAGGGAAATGGGTGAGAAAGCGCCCCCTTCTGGCCAGAGAGGGAGCTGTCGGCCACGTTTTCCAGCTCTGGGAGGGAGACTGGCCTGGAGGCTCCTGCTTTTTCTGAAGGACAGTTAAGGAATCCAGTTTCTCCTGAGAAAGAGGGGAGACCACCCCTGAAATCACCCTTCGCAGGATCTTTTTGACCAGCAGCCATCGTAGGAACAGAGTTTCTCTCTCGAGATCTTGTTTTTTGGTCAGAGAGCATTTTTGGAGATCTCACTCCCGCCTGTCTGTGTCATCACCCTCCACCCAAGTCAGCAACAAAATGTTTAGAGACCTGCATCCCACCCTGGGCTCTCACCTGCTATCCCGGACTCCCAGACCAGGCTGGTTTAACTCTCACCTGCTATAACCAGACCAGGCTGGTTTCTGGGGTTTGTGCTTCCTCCCTCCAAGCATGTTGTCCTGTGCAGTCTGAGGATGGTCATGAGGCTGCTTCAGTGTCCATGGAGGAAACAAAAAGCATGAAATTTCTGACTCGTCCCACTCAGGCCCCCAAAGGGCACAGGTGACCCACCACCCCATCTCTGAGCATGAGGTCACCCTGAGGTGCTGGGCCCTGGGCTTCTACCCTGCGGATATCACCCTGACCTGGCAGCGAGATGGGGAGGACCTGACCCAGGAGATGGAGCTGGTGGAGACCAGGCCTGGGGCTGGGTTGAGGGGGTGGGAGGAGCAGAATCTTCCAGAAGTGGGCGGCTGTGGCGGTGCCTTCTGGAGAGGAACAGAGATACACATGTCATGTGCAGCATGAGGGGCTGCTGGACCCCCGAGTCCTGAGATGGGGTGAGAGGGGGACATGGGCACAGAGCCTGTTCTCAAGGGAACCAGGAGCCCTTCTGGAGACTTTCAAAGGGTCAGACTGAGGCCTGGAGTTCAGGGTCTCCACTTCCCTTCCCTTCCCTTCCCTTCCCTTCCCTTCCCTTCCCTTCCCTTCCCTTCCCTTCCCTCCCTTCCCTTCCCTCCCCTCCCTTCCCTTCCCTCCCCTTCCCGTGCCCTCTGAGTCCTCCATCCCCACCGTGGGCGTCATTGTTGGCCTGGTTCTCCTTGGAGCTGTGCTCACTGGAGCTGCAGTGGCTGCAGCTGTGATGTGGAGGAAGAAGCGCTCAGGTAGGGAAGGGAGTGGGGGATCTTGTCCACTGGGGGCTTTCAAGTCCCAGGGAGAACTTGCCCTGCCTGTTTAATGGAAATACCATCCACACACCTATTGCCCAAACTGGAGCTGATTGCTAACACTTAGTCTTTGTAAAGCACATGTGAATGTGAATCAACTTGTTCTCATTGGTAGTTCTTGTTATAGGGACCTGAATCCCAGAAAATATCAGAGGGCAAGTTTCCTGCCTGGGTAAGACTCCAGGAGGCAGTAAGCCCAGTCTCCCTTGAACTTCTTTTGTCATATTTCCCAGTCCTGACCTGGGTCTTCATTCACAGTTCTGGAAATGTCCCTGTGGTCCAGATTAGGGGATTCCTTTAAGACTTCAAGACCTGACCCCTCCATGGTCTCACATGATGTTTTATTCCCACAGGCTGGAAAGAAGGAAGCTACTCCCAGACTGGAGGTAAATGGATCAGGTTTATGATTACTCAGACCCTTGGGATAGTGTAGATGGAGCCCATAGGATAAGCTGACCCATCCGTTCCTCCTTCATTCTCATCTCCTGTGGACCCTGACCTGGTTCTGTTTTGTTATACCTCAGGCATGACAGTGCCCAGGGCTGTGTTGTGCCTCATAGCATAGGTCAGACCCTGGAGGCCTGCAGTGGGAGGGGCTGGGGCAAAGAGGATGGGGCCAGGTTATGGGAAAGCTGTGAGGGGGACATTCTGAGGATATGGTGGACTATTGAGAGTGTCAACATGGGCCTCCCCTGGTGGCGCAGCGGTTGAGCGCTGGGCTGCGAAGCTGCCCGCAGCCTCTGCAGCACCGGTTCGATCCCGGCCACTGGCAAGGATCCCACATGGCACGACAGACTTCTCCTGCTGCGCCCGCTGCTCCCCTCAGCAGTGTATTTCATCACTCTGCCTGTTCTGTTCCCTGCTCTGGCTCTGGTGAATTCTTTCACTCTCCCATGCTTCTGACTGTACCCAGTGCTTGTATGAATAAATAAATCTTAAAAAAAAAAAAAAAAGAATGTCAATACTTTTGTGCCTCACCTGAATGTGTTCCTGATAATTTTTCCTTTACAGTGTGACATAGCTACCTGGCATGGACTAAGATATGCAGATTTCTTCTGATCCCCATTTTGTGACTTCGGTATCCCCTAGTTAATCCACAATGAGATACAACCTCATACCTGTGAGAATGACCCGTAACAAAAAGACCAGAAACAGGATGTGGAGAAAAGGGAAAAGTTCTATACTGTTGGTGGGAATGCACACTGGTCCAGCTCCGATGGAAAAGGAAATGGTGGTTTCTCAAATATTAAAAATGGGGCCTCCCTGTTGATCTAGGGGTTAAGTCTCAGTGCTATCACTGCTGTGGCCTGAGTTCAATCCCTGGCCAGGGAGATAACCGACA